GGTGGAAGGCGGGCCACGTGCCTGAAAGCATCGCGTAGAGAGTCACGCCGAGGCTGAAGATGTCCGCTGATTGGTCGTACGCCTTATTCGCGAGCACCTCGGGCGCCTCATACGGGAAGCTCCCCGCGTACCCCACCACGCGCTGCCCCGGTCGCAGCGCGAGAGACAGGCCAAAGTCCGCGAGCTTTGCGGAGGGCATGGTGGCGGAAGCGGAGGCGGCGGAGGGGGAACCGGGGGGGGAGACGGAGCGCGAACGCGGGCGGAGCGGGTTGAGCTGGAGCGAGGTGAAGGGGTGCTTGGGCGCGGGGGTGGGGCTCGCAGCGCGAGTATCGGCGGCAATGGCGGCGGTGGTTGCGGGGACGAGGAGGATATTTTCGGGCTTGATGTCGCGATGGATGACGCCGTTGTCGTGGCACTGCTTCACGCCACGTGTCACTTCGAGAAACAGCCGCTGGGCTTCCATTTCGGGCAGGAGACCTTTCTTCTGAATCAGGTTCAGCAAGTCCCCGCCATTGCAATACTCCATAACAACATAAACGGACTCCGCGTCCTCGTAGATCCCTTGCAGCGAAACCACGTTGCGGTTACCCGAGAGCGTCGCCATGACTTCGATTTCGCGAACGGCGGCTTTAACCCCCTTTTCGCCAAGGCCCGTGAGGCTGATGTGCTTGCATGCGAAGAGGCGGCCCGAGTCGCGCTCCTCGCAGCGCCACACCGTGCCGTACTGCCCCTCGCCCAGCATGTCGATCAGCTCGTACCGCGCGGAAAGCTCGCTCGCGGGGAGCACTTCGAGGCTTTCGCGATCCATGGCTGCGACTCGGCGACTGTCCGGCCAACAAGTTCGTCGACTGGCGATCGTCTGTGCGAGCGTGCGCGCGAGTATGGAGGAGGTCGTAGGCGTGGTGGGCGTGTCGCGGAGGTATGCGCGTTTATGTGCGCGGTGAGAGCGACGAACGGGGTGATAATGGTGACTCCGGTGGATGGTCGCGCGACAAGGGCGCTAATGGACTTAAAGATTTTCCACCGTTGCGGGAGAAGTCGCGGAGGTAAGACTTCGAGCAGCTTGAGGTATCTGAAGACGACGGAAGTTTTTTGCCAAACAAGTCGCGTTGGAAGAGGTTTTTCTGTGCCACAAGCTATTATCGGGTCGAGTGGAGTGATGAGAAACGGAAGCACTGCATCTGCCTATTCGTAGTAACGGTGTTGCAGTTCGGTGGGGGAGGATGGTGGTGGGTGAGGCACTCGGGGTGGAGTGGGCGGGTGGGTGGGGGCGGGGGAGGACGAGCCAAGCCCGATTGCACAATTTGGAGTGTAGCGGCTGGGTGCGTTTGAAAATAGCGCAGCGCGAGTACGCCTGCCAGGCGAGGCCCTGCGCTCTCGCGCGAGTGAATCAGCGCCTCGGGAAGCAGCCGGAGAAACACCAGGCGCAGTCGTTCAAGCAATCTGGTTCAAAAAACGACGACTGGGAAGAGAAACGTCGGTGCTCAGGGGGGGAACGTTGGGGAGGGGCGGGTGTGTGGGGCGGGGGAGGGGGAAATCCTGGCGTGGCGCAGCTGTTGAAACGCGTTTCCCGTCCCGTCCCGTCTCTTGTGCTGTTGTTCCTCGATCCCTTTCCCTCATGCTAGGTCGACAGCGGGCCTTCAATTGTGAACCCGGGGGAGCGAGAGGGGAGGCTAGGCGGGGGGGGGGGAGTGGGTAGGGGGGAAGAGAAGGGTTGGGGGGGGAGGATGATGGTTCTTGTCGGTGGTATGGCGAAGCAGTGGAGTCGACTGCTGCAACACGTTCCGATTGAACCAATCAACGATCACCGAAGCGAGGATGACAGCTCACAGTTGACACTTTCAAGCCGCATGGTGATGCCACTCGCGCACTCAATCCGCCCTTCAAACCAGCTTACTCGCGGGTCATGCGCGGTAAGGTGCTCAGGTAGGAAGCTTCTTCTAGGGAAGCAAGCGGCAAAAAACACTACCACGCTATTGGCTCGCCGAGGTGTAAATTTTGACCCGCGTCAACACCCACCTTCGCGCAACATCGTCTCTTGTTTTCGTAGCGCTGACTCGGTCAAAGTGAGCTGTTTGAATGGAAGGTGTGGCCCAGCCATTCTACGCATCGTTGGTCGGTCGGTCGGTGTACGATAAGATTCGCACTTGCTCCCACATCAAAAGAGATGTGGCCGTCGGAGTGGCCAATCACCCTACTGTACTGTACACTCAAAGAAGGGAGCGGGGGATCACCAAACGCACTCACAAATGAAACGAACTTCTCAACAAGACGACACGACGGTTGGTGGCAAGGGGACCCACTGGCCCACGGTGGCTTGGGTCGGTGTGAACCAGTTTGGAATTTGCATGCTACTGTAACTGAGTCAGTTAGCCAGTACACACCTATATTTTAATCAAATGGTCTCTATAATCCAGGGTTAGTTAAACTTCCAACTTCACCACACTATGGTTGTGCACGGTTGAGCCAACTACCGCCATGGAGAATCCTTCTTGTGGTCAGGTTGAGGCACCTACATGGCAGGCACCTACATGGTGCGCTTATATCCGGGGTAATACGGAAGCGCAGCTTATACCTTCTAACATTGCATGATAAGACTAGCTTCGGCATCCTTGTAGTGGTGTCATTCAAATAGTAGCAATCGTATATGTATATTGGATGACAGTATCAGTTATAGAACATGCCCCTTGTGAAAGATGCATGCCCCAATAATAAAACTCCAATTATTGAGTTATTTGTATGCGTTGGAGGCAGCTCGCTGGAAGCAGAACGCATAATATGTCGTCAGTGTCCCTCCACCACAACCAGACCCCCGACTGTTCAGCTCTCATCTCGTGTCGTGCGGCCTTGGTCATACCGACATGCACGGAACGAACATTCCTCGTTGCAGCTGCCCGCGAATGTTGCCCAGGAACTTAAACGCCGACACTTGCACGTAATAGTTGGCGGGGTTTAAATCAAGCTGCTTTAAAACGTTCGTAACCGTTTGCCCGTTGCTCGCCTTGGCGGAATCAGCCTGCTTGATCCACCCTACCGACTTGTACGTGATGCCATCGGCGCGCAGTGCGATCGTGGGCGTGCCGGGAATGGACAGAATAGCATCGCCGGTTGCTCCCGCGGGGCCGTAGTTGAGAGTTTTGAAGAGCGGAAAGTAGAGGTCGTTGGAGGTGAGCTCGAATTTGATGTCCGTGCCCTTGGTGCTCCTGTAGGGGGTAGACGGAGAGGGAGGAAGGGGTGTCAGCATAAGGTTCGGCGTGTTTCCCGCGGGACTGATCTTGATTTTACGCGAGGTGTAGCAAGAGAGGTAGGGCCACGCGAGGTCAGCATCAGATAAAACGCGGATTATCACAGGGAAATGGAAGAATTTACTAGAGCCACGCGTAGTATAGAGGAGGTTCTTACGAAAATACAGTAATCTTCAATGTACCGTCCGCCATTTGCGTTGTATCGGCCTTCTTCTTGTCGCCTCGCATCGTCGCCTGGATAACGCCTGCGCAATCCAGTAGGTTCAACGACCAGAAGTTAACACATGCAAGCAATAAGAGAACGGACGCGCGTAGACATATCAAAATCACAAAAACAAACAAGGACAGAGTCCAAACGCAGAAGACATCCATAATTGACAACACATATCAAACCAGGCATCAATACGGACTTTTCGTGTTGTGCAGTTCGGACTTTGGAATGTTTGGACCAAGGGCTTTGTACGGAATGTCAACAAATTTGGGAAGCATTACGGAGTAAGACTGTCGCAGAACTTACTGACGACGGGGTTGCTGAAAATCGCAGGGCATCGCACGAGCCACGAGTGCGACAGAGGGACGGTAGCTGACAGGAGTAATAGAACCGCAAGCGAGCCTGTGCGTCGAGAGTGGAGGAAAGAAGGGAGGGGGAAAATGGGGCAGGGAGGGAGAGGGGCTGAGAATGTTTTTGTACGTCAGGACGGAACTATCGGGGCTCGATGTTGTTTGCAGGATCACTGAAGCCTGGCATCGAGAGGGGTAGGAAGACGCACCTATGCGACGGTCCATTGGAACCGAGGATGAGGAGGATGAGAACGAACACGAATGACCAGGTACTCGATGTTTTCGGCGTATTGTATTTCCGTCGCTATTGTGCGAAGTAGCCTGGACAATTTGGTGGACTATGCACAGAGCTATTGAGCAGCTATGAATGATTCTGTCATGAACTAGAGAAATTGAATAGGTTATCAACATAGAGCAGGAGGCCTTTTTTAGTCTGGTGATGTGCAGCCATCATGCGGAAGAGAGCCGACAATTCTTTGATTCCCATTTCAATTTTAACGAACCGCACATTTTGTGGGTGAGAGCACAGAGGCGGGACATCACGAGCCGCGCCCTTACAGCTCCACGTAACCCTTCGGAAGGGATATTGCGAGAGGCGAAAGGGGTGTGCGAAGGTTGACGACTCTGCTTTTGGCATGGTGGTCGCCGACAGGACCTGTACCCAAACGCAGACAGACACGAATTCGCAGAGCTGTCGCACACATGCCATGAGGGTGGGGGGAAACATCAGAAATTGGGAGCACGACGAGATTGTCCCAGCAACAAACGACAGGCGTTTCTGACAACAGCCTGCTTTCCATTCTGTAAGATAATACCTTCATAGATCATGTACATGACGATTGATAGCAGCTAGTTCAGCATGTTCTAAGGAATTGTGAAAGCAATAATACCGTATGGAAAAAAATGCAACTGGCAAATTGTAAGAAACAAGGGCATCAGTAACAACTGTGGTTTAAAAAAAAAAACTTGAAAGATCACTATAAGGTTGATGCTCGATGCATCAGACTATAAGTATTGCATTCAGGGCCCAAAATATCATGGTAAAACGCCCTGATTACCCTGGGGGCCGGCCGCTTTTTCACGATTACCCTGCCAAAATCAGGATTGCACGATAGTTACCCTTTTGCAAAAAGAGCATGTTTTTTTTTACACTGATTGGATTTATGGTTAGCCTGACGGTGTCAGGGTAGGGTGTAGACTACCCTGATACTTAAACTTCTTTACCGCGTGGTGAAGAACTGTACCACACTCACACAAACAGTGTTACAGGGGGTTTTACTGTTCACTTTGCACAGTAACTCCCAACCCCATCCTTATCCTTATCTTCTTGGATTTCCTAGTGCCACGTGGCACTCTACTTTTCTTGCTTCTACTTTCTAGTCCCACGAAGTACTTTCCATCATTCGATCTTGCATGCAATATCAACCTTGCTTGTATTCCCCAATATCAACCAATTCTCATTCAACTCTTCAATTACTTAGTTACTTCTTCGCCTATTTCGCCAACACTCTCTTTCGCCAAAGTCTTCCGCCGCGTTTATCCTCGACTTAGTCGACCCCGCTAATCTTTAGCGGATTTAGGCCAATGGGCCACTTGGTATCAGAGCCTTCGCGGGGAGCGACTTCCAACGAGCGACCGTCGACGACGAGACTACGACGTCATCGTCCAGCGGTGCCGACTTGCAGACTTGGAGTCGTCGAGCCGATATGGATGAAACCATGACCGCTCTCCCCAACGACATGGGCAACACGCTTGCTCAGCTCATGCGCCAACTCGAAACGTTGACGCTGGAAAATCGTCAGGTACGGGCTGAAATGCAACAGCTTCGTGAATTCGCGTCAATTTCTCATGGTCATGCCGCACCATCTCCTGCACCCAACACGTCGACTGGCGCGGAAGCGCTGCCGGAACGTCGAAGCGCGCTCAAGCCGCAGAAGCCCAAGCCGTTCGACCCAAGTCAACGCGACGCGAACGTGCGGACGTGGATCTTCATGCTGAACAA